TACATACTTTAACTGTATCTTTTTTATTCGTAATTTTTTTTTCCCATTTTTTTTTTCCTTTTTGTTCTTTTTTTTTATTAATTATTTTTATTAGAATCGAACATGTATCTATTCGCATTTTAATTTTACCGATACCGACAGCGATGGATATTTTGTTCACGATTAATCAATCATCGATGATTAATAATAATCATTTTGATTAGAACATTATGAAATTTAGGATTGAAATGTTACCTCTCGGTTAATTCATCGATCACAAGTCGGTCGGTATCCGTAAAATAAATGTGAATATACATATGCAATTGGATAATCCTATGTTTAAACGTATTCAATATCATCGACTCAGTCAGTCATAAATCATTGTTTATTACGTATGGCTATTACGACGTATTTAATTTTGTTCATTATTTCTTTTCTTTTCTTTTCTTTTTTTCGATCCCTTTTTTCTCCTCTCCTCCCTATTTTTTCGCTTTAAACATTTAACCACCACCATTTTTTTTATTTAAATGTATTCCTTTTCCTTTTTTTTTTTTTGTCATTTTTTCCTTTTTTTTTTTTTCTCTTATTTAATTACCTTTAATATTCGTTTATTTTTTTTTTTTTTTTTACCTTAATTTACTTTCATAACTTTGCTGAACAACCATTTTCATATTACGAGCATCCTCCTCGATACGACCGATAGCTAGCTCGATTTGCCTATCACGTTCCTTACGACTTTCCTCCCTTATTTTAGATTCCGATTTTTCTAGTTTGATTATTTGTTGTTTCTTGTAATTGTCTAACCATTCCGTCCATTCCTTTTGCAGACTCTCACGTAGAGTTTGCTTTTCAGCTTGGTGTTTTAGCCTCTCCTCCTCTAATTCTTTCTATAATTAAATACGTGATCGCTTAATCTTAAGTATCGCGTATTTTCTTTTTTTTTTTTTTTTTTTTTTTTTTTTTTTTTTCGTCGGTTTTAGTGTTATTATTATTATTATTTTATTTTACTTTTTAATTTTTTTTCAAAAAACATTTAACCTGTAACCGGGTGTACGTTTGTCGTATAATCGTATCTTTCTCGTTATCGCGTTTAATTAGTTCATCGTTAAATCTTTTCCTTTCGCGTTCCAAATCCTCCGCGAATTGAATCCTTTCTGTACGAAATTGTATATCCTTTTCGTCTAGTTTCTTCTTATACCTGACAACACAACAATTCACGCCCGTCATATGTATGAATTTTATTTATTTAATTGACTAGTACGATGTGTGTGTATTTATGTATGTACGTGTATAAGTGTAGTGTGTGCGCGTGTACGTGTATATATGTTTATTTAATTGTGTTATATATTTTTTTTGCAAATTATTTTTTTTCTTTTTCTCTTTTTTTTTTTTTTCATCGTCATCATCTTCTTCTTCTTTATCATCATCATCATCATCATCAATTTTAGCTACCTGGTCCATAGGATATTCTTTTCGCTTGCTAATACTTTTTCGTTACTATCTGTAAGTTCTAAACGTAATTGTTCTAATTGCTGGTTCGAGCGACGTATTACACGCAACTCGGTATCTTGAAGTTCCTTCATATGAGCCCTTCGTATCTCCTGAATCTCCAGCTGATGTTGTTCGACCATACTTCGTAATTCGGGTTCTAATCCCTTAACCGTCATCTCCTGCGGGAACGTCATCATCCATCTTGTTATAATATATATATACACACACACACATCACGCAGAAGTTATATATTTAATCTTAAGTGGAATATCGTTAACGTACAACAATTGAATATTCGTTAATAAGGTAGTCAAATACTTGGAAGGAAAGAAGAAAGGAAGGAAGGAAGGAAAGGGGTAAGGTTTGAGTTGGTTGAACCAATCAAAAGTGAAATTATTTAAGAATAGGATTTTTCTTGCTACCCATCAAAAGGACGAACCTTAATCTTCGTAGTTCTCGATTCCAACCATCTTTCACGTTTGATCTTTTCGGACGCCGCGAAACGTTCCTTGGCACGTTGCAATTCAACAATATGCCTATCCGTACAAACTTTCAAATCCCTTTCCGACTTTAATTCAATTTCCTTGATCCTACGTGCCAAGGTATTACACTTGTCAGTTAAATCGGTCTTCTCGTTGATCAACTTTTCCATAAACTTTTGATGCCTCTTAACTATGCCTTGATATTTCTTTTCTTGCGTTTCCATCATCGATACGTGATTCTTATTTTCAACTTTTAATTTCTCACAGGCTGCTTCTCGTTCCTTTTTTAATTCTTTTTTCAACAAAACAATCGTGGCATCCTTTTCCTCCAATTGCAATTTTGCCGTAAACAATTCGTCATTGTAAGCGTTTGAGAAATAATTTCTTAAAGGATCGGACCTAACCCCGTGTATAATAATATATAAAGTTTCATTTTTATTCGTCAATTAGATTTATCTAAACGTCATTCTTACTTATTCTGATTTAAATAATAAGAAGAATTATTTCCGTCTTTTAGAAATATATCCTGAATAATTCCATTCCTTTGTTCCAATTGATTTCCATGTATTTCGTTCGGATACCCTAAGAACGCGATTCGTAATTGTTGAAAAATGATAATTATATAATATATACATATATATATATATATAAATAAATTATACACACACACATGAAACGTACAATTTAAATGCCATGTACGTTTCGTGATACAAGCATGTATATATTGTTTTTTTCTTTTTTAAAATAAATATAAAATACTTTTACCGATATCCGATCGAACAGAATATTTTTGTCATTCATGTGTGTGTGTGTTTCTTTTTCTCTTTCGTAATTAAAACTAATTTTAATACTCCCGTTTGAAACAAATAAAAAAAAAAGTTACATCATATATATATACATATAACAATTATCATTTCCAAATAATTTTATCATTCGTTGGTATTTAAATACCGTCTTCTAGGGTTGATAAAAATGACATAATATCATCGTAGGTAGCTCCGATGGATCCACACTTATCTTTGGAACGATCTCTTTCCGGTTCTAGCTGCAAATACGTATTCCAATTACGTATTATACCACACATACACACATACGATATATATATTATATATATATATAGAATATATTTAGAATATATTTATATATAATAATATATCGACAATCGTATGTATTATTATTAACAATATATATATATATATATATATATAATATATAGATAAATCAGACACACTTGATTACTATATTTCATCATATTTAAGGATGATACTTCATCGCCAGGATTGTCGGTGATCAAAGTTACGTCGAAGTGTTTCGATCCAGGAACAACATTTCCCTCCCCCTTCACCACCTCTTCTTCCTGTTCCTCCTCCTCTTCAACAACCACTTTCAACCCTTTTTTGTTAGAATCGATAATATTTCCTTCCAAGTCGTTAATCATTTTGCACAATTGCTCGAACGAGCCGTTACTATTATTATTATTATTATTATTATTATTATCATTATTATTAATAATATTAATCGGTTCTATTAAATTTTCATTACGGTCGCTATTAATATCGAGACTTCGCATTTTTAATTTAACATCGTTCACGCATTTGTCGGTTTCCGATGCAATGCTATCCGCGTTTTCGATTAAATCATTCGTCGTATCTCGTATAATTTTATTAGGATGATGATTATGGTGATAGAAATCTTCGATATCTTGGCATTTATCATAATTAACATTAACGGACATGATTTCCTTCGGATTTATGGTGGTCGTCCTTACCGGAGGATATTTTTTTATCGGTGGCTTGCCGTTCAACATCGGATGATTTATGTTTATCATCGCACTTGATAAAGTATATAACATATTACAACACGTTACTTTTTTTCTTTTTTTTTTTTT